TTTACTCAGCACCGCCCACGCACTTCCGTAATGGCGATTTTGTTGTTTAGAAGAAATAATTTATAAAAATCATTATAAAAATGTTAAATGATGCTATGAATTCATAATGAAGCACACATGTTGTAAAATGAATACACTTACAGTAGATATAATACACATGGCTCAACCTATAGTAGTTAGAGATTAATCAGGAGATAGCCATTGTAGGTACAGTTGTTTGTGCAATGTTTTCAAGAACAGCACAAACCTGGCTCTTGAGTACCACACTAGCAATACTAACATCACTGATAGAAAAAGTTCTGCTCTATAACATATTGTAATTTCATAACTGTCCTCTGAATATTGTAATTTATATATAAAAAATAAATATGATAAACGTTGTCTACTTATGCATTATTGGTAAGGCAATAAACTGCTTTCTATGAAGACAATGGGACTCAAATACGATGTGCTATTCATTACTGCCCTCCAATATGAAATCCTTCTTCAATAAGTACTAGCTATACTATATCCCAGTTCAGTTTGGGACGGAAGTGGAAGCAGCTGCGTGGAATTCGAAAAATGTAGCTACGTCACAAAAATGACTATATTAATGATATTCATAGAAGAATGGCGGCTGTGTTGTTTCACTCTTAAAACAGTCTTCATGTCCAGCTATTGCAATGGGACTTCCGGTCGCATTAATTTAATGATATTCATTGGAATTACCATAGCAACGGCAGCTCAGCAATGGTGGATTGATAGGAAGCTTCACTACAAAGCCTGCTAACGTCTTTCTGGTTCATGGATGGGACTTCACTAGATACTTGGAGCTTCTTGAATGCTACTTAATGCAATTGGTTATGGTAGTTTTTTCATATTCTATTGTTAAAGTGGCAGGCGTGGCGCAAGAAGACTCATCCACTAACAAAAGGCCTTCTTGTTATTACTTTAAAAGGATCTAGAGACATGATTTGCTTGTATAGCTGTTAAGCACTCTTAGTTTTACTTTATTATTCCCGTGAGAAGAGAAAAGCACTTGTTCACTCTTGTTGCTGTACCCGTTATCACCGAGGTTATCACTGAGACGACTAAAATTATTTCACCTTTAGAAGACTAAAGTACCGAACAAAGTTTTTAATTTCTTTATCTTTTTTGCATGATTGGGCAGTAAAAATGTTGTACTTTCACAAAATAAGTGCGCAATTTGTCAAAAATTGTTTGAAATTTAGATATAACCATTCAAAAAGTAAAAAAATTATCATACATACATAAAGGAATGACAAAAATGGCGGCACTGACTGCCTCATCTTTAATCTGCAAATGTTCCACACAAAGTTACTCCAAGTGCTGTCATATTTAGCAGGAACACAGGTATAATTATGGAGAACAGCTACTGAAGTGCGCAAATTGATGAGACTTATTCTGAAGAAAGATATAGCCTAGTAAATGTCCGTTCCTGCCCTGTATAAAGTCAACCAGTAGTATACGGAGATAATTGCTCAGTATACTAATCCGCGTCCACTCATTGCTGGACATGTGCTGTTGCTGATAAGCAGTACAATAG